CTCTCACAGATTAAGAATAGGTTTTTGAATGGGTGTTGAATTTTATCAGATGTTTTTACTTATTTATTTGTTAATAATTTAGTATTTCTCACTTAATTTGTTAATATGGTGACTTCTATTATAGCTCTTTTTGATGTTGAGTCATCTTTCCATTCCTAGAATATGTTTTACTTTGTTTTGATATACAATTTGTGTGTGTGTGTGTGTGTGTGTGTAAGTAAATTTACTGCTGGATTTGGATTGGTAATTTTTTATTCAGAGTTTTTCAATAAATGTTTATAACTGACACAGGGCTACACTTTTCTCTCTTCTATTTTTAAATTGAGTTTATTGGGTTAATGAAATTATACAGGTTTTGCTTATACAATTCTATAGTACATCATCTGTATATTGTATTGTGTGTTCATCCGCTAAGTCAAATGTCCTTCCATCACCATTTATCTCCCCTTTACCCTCTTCTGTCTTCCCCACCCCCTTTCCCTCTGGCAATCACCATACTCATCTGTGTCTATGAGTTTTGTTTTGTTTTGTTCTTTGCTACACTTTTCTGTTCTCCAGTGTTCATGCCTATTTTTGCTTCAAGTTATAATATCCTCTTAAGAGTGGTTGGGTTGCTTTTATGTTTTTCTTTTTTAAAATAGATTTTGAGAGAGAGAGAGAGAGAGAGAGAGAGAGAGAGAAAACATCGATTTGTTGCTCCACTTATTTATGCATTCATTGGTTGCTTCTTGTATGTGCCCTGACATGCGACCTTGGCATATTGGGAGGATGCTCTAACCAACCTAGCTGCTGGGCCAGGGCCTCTTGTCCTTTTTTAAAAATTTCACTTAAATTTTTAATTGTTTATGAAAATAAATACAAGTATGTAATTTTAAATTCAAATAATACTACAAAGGACAAAAGAAAATAACCTCTTTTTACCCTTCCACTTTTGAGTCCTGCTTCTTAATTCAAAGATCAGTAAACTTTCTATAAAGAAAAAAAGTAGGGAGTGATTTAGTCTTTGTAGGCTGTCAGGTCTCTGTCACAGCTCTTCAACTCTGTTGTTATGTTGCAAAAGCAGCCACAGACAACACCTAATGAATGAGCATGGCTTTCTTTGTGTTTTACGAAACAGGCAGCAGGCAGGATTTGGCCTCTGCTCTACAGGTAATCACTTATATTTTTTTCATTGTTTCTTTCGATATTCTATATTTCAAAATAAAATTTCTGTGCTACTATTCTCTATTTATTTTAGTTTTAGATATTATTTATCAACTTTGTATTATGAAGATGATTAAATTCTTTAATAGTTCTGCTACATAATACAAGCATTTCTCTTCCCCCTTATTTATAACACTATTTTCATTATTAATATTTAGTCTTTTCTTTATTCTGAATAGGTAAATATTAATATAGACAAGTCTTGTGATATACGATTGTTTTCTTCTACAACTACCCTGAGTGCCTCCTGCCTTCTACTAATAGTTGCTTTGTTTTTCTGTAAAATTTGTTTTCAATGCACCTATTACAAATTGCCTGTTTTGCCTGAGCCGCCTTCCCCTCCTGTATCTTTGCTTGGTTGCACTGGTCTCTGCTTCTGTTGGCTGTCTTTCATCATTAATAGAAATAATCGGCAACAAAATTTGAAATGGAAAATCTAAATGCATGTATTCAGCATGCCAGTGGAGGGCCAGCCATTTCATTGGGGGAATTCTTCTATATCTATATTAGAAAATCTTATATCTTTGATTGGGAGTTGGTTTTCCTACAGAAGAATTCTCTGATCTCCTGACTACAGAGATAATGAACTTGACTACCAGTATTTTGGAATTTGAGTCCAGAATCTCTGTGTTTCGGCCTATCCAGAGAATGAAGCTCTAGTCTCCCATCACAATGAAGAAAGAGTGGTAGTTAGTGGGTGTTTGGTGTGAGGGAAAGAACCTGGGGACTTTATTTCTTATAAGGACTTTGGCCCTGCACTGCCTCACACTCCAACTTTTGGTGGTACCAAATACTTCCAGTGTTTTGTGTCTCTGGGATTCTGTGATATGAATTATTTCTTAAACTTTTTAAGTTAGCACTGTCTTTTTCAGTCTTTTTTCCTAGTACATGCACGTAAGACTAAATTTTAGCTTTCCATATACTGCTTTTTCTGTGTGCCACAAGCTCTGATATGTAGTGATGAATCAACCCTCCAGTTCTAAATATTTTTAAATTTCTAACATTATTTCTTTTTTGATACATGAAAAGTAAAAACAAATTTGTAAATTTTTGGTACATAGGAAGTGCTCAAAACTTATTTGCTATTATTATAGTTGTTACCATTGCCTCATAGGTTCCATTTGCTGTGATGCATTTTGAGTAAATAACTGATAATTGAATGTAAAATATGGAAAGACAAGATTTCCTAACTGCCTACTTCCAAATACCTTTGGCTCTCACAACTGCATGCAGCCTTTTGGGGGCGGGGAGCAGGGGCAACAAGCCAATTAGCCTTTATTAACTTTAATTTCTTCATGTCTGAAGTTGGGCTAAAATAAACAACTTTTGTTTATGGATGTAAATGCTAAATAATATAGTATATTTAAAACACCTGGGAAATGTTCCTGGCACAGTGTAGGATATTAATGATCAATAAATGTTCCACTTTCTCACTTATTTATTCCAGCTTCACATATGTACATTATTTCTGTATTAGATGAGCCCCTGCATTTAGCATTAATTTAGATCCTGAAATTGCAGTGTGGCTTCCAGGTTCACTGGGAATGGATCCTGACACCTGGAATCTCAGAAGAAAAAGCAGGGATTAAGCTCTGTGAGGTTCAAAGGCCATTTGTGCCCCTTGATATTGATTTTCTTAAATCAGACAGTAGCCAAGACCCTGGGAAAAGTAATTGAACTGACAACAGGCAGGTCCGGGTTATTAATAATGGAATAGCCTTGGACATTCTTGATGACTTAATTTAATGACAGAAGGGAGTTCTGAAACTGAAATGCTTGGAGATGGGG